TAAATTTACTAACGCTTATAATTTGGTTCGTGTTTGCCTTTAATTGTTGTATATAAGAAATAAATATAAGAAGAGATTACTATCCATTAAATTATTTATTTATATAAGAACAATTTAATTATTTATCTATAAAAACAGTTAATGTCTATTTGAAATATCGTATAATAATTTCTTTTAATTGTTTTGTAGAATAATTTAGGCACTCGAAAAATTTGTGTGTTAACCGTGAGAAAACCTTTTGAAAACTTATAAAATATCCGCATTACATGTCCTCTATCAGTGATCGAAACAAGTTTTAATTAAAAATTCACGTTTTTAATATACTATATATAACGTTTAAAATCAAGGTTCTCTGGTAAAATTTTATAAAAACTCTATATTAAAGTATTTGTTAAATTATGCACAGAGAGAATAATGAATGTAATTAAGTCATAATTCTATATATTTATACAAGTGCAGTTTTGTATTTGTATAATGCAATTACTGCACACTTTTCTTAAATATAAATACGTATTTTTATATGAATTAATTTAACATAGGCTATTAAACCGTCTGTTTGAAACTGGCGGATAAATAATAAAAACAGGTTGTAATAAATAAGTCTAGCTCTGTTGACTGTTCTGACATTTTATCATTGAGCTGAAGGCTCGACAAATTATATTGAACGATGACGGTTTGTTATTGGAAGAAAAACACCACGATTTATTGCCATCCAAATAAACGATCAAAGAAACCCTAAACATCTTAATTCGTCAGAAATCACTATTTGATAATTTGACAATTAAATAAAGAATTTTCGTACTAAATATATTTAGAGCAAGTTCTGAGAAAGTTCTGATAAGTATAAATAAAGCATGAGATAATTTTCTATACTTTCGAAGCAAATTATATTTTTGCCTGAAAGAATTTAAAAAATAATAAGGAAATTAATGATTAGTTTGACCATACTGGCTCTTATTAATATTATTCGTCTTTATTAGATATGCAATGTTTCTTACATAGGACAAACAAATAAGAGACATCTAAATACTCGCATAAAGGAACACCAGAACAACATTAAAAAGCATGAATTGAATCTGTCGGTTGTTAGCAAACATAGAATAGAATGCAATCACGATTTCCGGTGGCTTGACCCTTGTATTTTACATACTAAAAAACATAGATGTAAGAGAGAAATTGCTGAAATGTTATATATTAAAAAGCAAACAAACACAATCAATCTTCAAACTGGCACAGACAATCTCAACTCTGTTTATGATAAGGTCATTAGAATAATTTAGCGTCTTGTACCAGTAGTTGACAGAATGTCTTAGCGACATGTTAAAGTTCACAGCGCTTAATATATCATAATTTATATCTTTATATCTTAATGTGTGGCTTATTAGAACTGTTTTAAGTAAGTACATTGTTGTCTCTCCTTGCACGAATTGACTTGTATTTAGTTTTAGTTTTGCGTCGCTAACTATTGATTTTTTATAATTTTAGCACTTGAAAAGGACCTAAATTTAAGGTCGAAACGTAGTGTATCTCATATTTAATAAAGACGAATAATATTAATAAGAGCCAGTATGGTCTAATCATTAATTTCCTTATTATTTTTCAAATTATATCTATTGCAAACCCTTATAGAAATTTATCACTAGTAACGCTAATTTATCACTTATTTCGAGTACTCAATCACTTATTTCGAATGCTTAAATTACTGTATATCAGTATTTTAAGTACTCGAAATAAGTGATTAATTGGCGTTAATAGTGATAAATTTCTACAAGGAAAACACATTAATCTTTCTATAACTTTTCTTAATAGCTTTTAAATTTTTGCGCTTAGCTCGCAAAATAATATAAGGAAAATATTAATTAAGCTACGTCATACAAGGAAAATGTAAAATTTTATTATATCACTGGTCATTTTTATAATATATATTTCGAAAATATTAGTGGTTTATAAAATATAATATATATGCATAACTATATAATATACATATATAACAATATGTGTAATGTACAATACGCTTTTTATGAGCTTTTTTTGCATTCTCATACACTTTCCATATCTTCTGACTCTTTAACCTATCTGTTTTTTATGTACTTTTTTATATCTCTTGTATTTTTGGTATTATTTTAAAAGAATGCACGTGCATATATCAAGTTACGTCATACAAGGAAAATGTAAAATTTTATTATATTACTGGTCATTTTTATAATATATATTTCGAAAATATTAGTGGTTTATAAAATATATATATATGCATAACTATATATAATATACATATATAGCAATATGTATATAATGTACAATACGCTTTTTAAACGTTTTATCTTTTCAACTTATATTAGATTGTTTGTATAAAATATTTGGTTTTGCAATGTAGACTTTTTAAAGCTTTCTTTGGCAATAAAACTTTTTATATTTATACATGTTTTATATAATGACAGTTTAAGGTTTTGTGAATATTTGTACTTGTATTGAAAGTAGGTGAATAATTTGTATTGTAATTTGTATTGATATTGATATGAGAAAGATTATAAAAACGGTATAATGTATTGTATCCGAAGTTCGTTCTAAGCCGGAAGGCAAGAACTATGTGAAATAAATAATAATAATACATGTTTTATATATCATTTTTAAGAGTTCATAATTTGCTTTTTTATATCTGATTTTATTCTTTGATTTAATCGATTTCCAATTTTTTTCAACATTTTTTTCAATATGATAATAAACAAGATTTTTGCGTGTTTTTTTATATAAATAAAAAAGTGGTCACATAACATAATTAACACGTGTTATTGCAACAGCCGCTCGAAATATTACTGTTAAAAATTTAAACAAATTTAATATATTAAAAATTTTAATTTGGCAATAAAGTCACACATATAACAATCGTGGATCTGAGACTATGGTTTATGACATAAAATTGAAGCGCATTCAAATTTAAATTTTTTATACTAATGTGAACCGACCCATACAGCACAGATTATTGCAATTATATTGCAGCAACGTTGCAATGTTGCAAGTTGCAATGCAACATTATAAAGACATTGCAGAGATATAAGTGCACAAAATTCCAGCACACTTGTAGCAACATGACATTAATATTTCGGAAATATTGCATGTAATTCAAATTTTATAATTTATATATTGTAATATATATAAATTAACTACAACGTATTTTCATTAATGATTTATTTACATTTATATACCTGTATATGCAACATTAGTTTATGGTTGCAATAACAATGCATTATTGCAAACTCATAACATATTGCAATATTGTTGTAATATTTTGTTGCAATCTTCCAAAAAGCGGACATTTTAACATTGCTGCAATTCAACAGCAATGATGTAGCAACATTTTGCAGTGAATTTGCAATATTGCGGTGAAAGATTGTTGTAATGTTTTTGCAATCTATCGGTGCTGTATGGGGAGTTCTTACTGGATGCAACAGTAATGTTTTGAGCGGCTGCTGCAATATTATGGCCACTTTTTTAAAATTTAAAATAGCATGCAAAAATCACGTTTATTAATACTAAAAAAAATGTTAAAAAATTTTAAATCAATTAAATCGAAGAATAAAATCAGAATATGTGATATAATAAAAGGCCAACTTAACGAGCTTATATGCTATTAATTGAAAAATTTTTATTTATTAATTTACGTCATACTATATAAAAGTTAAGATAAACGTTTCGACTGTACGACAGTCTTTCTCAATATCCTAATAATATGTTAAAAAATTGATTTAGTCATTTCGACCTTATTATAAATACAACAATTATGAGATTATATGACGATCGCAGTACAAAATTCATTTATGTTGGCATGAGTTGAGCGTCAGATGCTGTTATATTATGTACGCCATTTTTGTCAACGAATTTAACACTTTTTTTAAAAAATTATTTCTTTTTCTTAATTCTTCGGTCTTTTTTGTTTTTTTGTATACTTCAATTACACTTTTAAATATCAAAAAATTTATAATAAAAAAGATAATTAATTTAAACGTCATGTTTGATTCTTATTAAATCATATAGTCAAAGTTTAATTATTATTATCGTATATAACTAAACTTTTCATGACGTCTGAATTAATCATCGCTTCATTATAAATTTTTCGATATTTAAAAACCAAAAAATGCGATTTTTAAAAAAAATTTGAAAAATGGCCTTAAAAATCGAAAATATTTGAATCCCCTTTTCGCTATAATAGCTCTAAAATTTTGTTTTAAAGTCTAAAATGTTATATATTTTTATGAAAAGAAATCGAAAAAATCTCATACTATTAAAATTTCTTTTTTTAATCATTTCAATATTTTTTTGTAAAATACATTCAAAGACGAAAAAATGACCGCCTTATTAATGACAATATATTCATTTTTCTTCAAGTTATAAATATTTGAAAATTTAAAAATGTTTAAAAATCAATATTTTTTAAAATATATAACTCGGGAAATAATGAAGATAAAAATCTAAAAAAATTCATGAAAGCTACTTTCAATAGGTACAAAAAGATAAAAAAATGAAGCAAATAAGAAATTGAATATTCTATTTTTTATAGAAAAGAGAGTTCGTGTCTTGAAGATGCTATTAAGATTGAAAATGTATAATACTTCCCGAATATGGCAGGGCCGAACTTGAGACTAACAGAGAATCTTTTCCAGCAACAAAAAAAGTAAGGTTTACTTTTAAAAAATATTTGCATTGATTTAAAAATGTAACTTTTTAATATTCTTTTTTCTCTCTAAATATATCTAAGAAAAATAAACTACAACTAAAATTCAAAATTATTATTACATTATTTTGTAAAAATGCACAATAATTTTGATATTACTTTCTGTTATATTTTTTGGTAATTAAAATTACCTTTTTGTTGTTTTGCTAATGAAATCACTGAACAGCATTATTTACATGCTTCTTAATAACACTTCTTAAACAGTATTTAATATATTATTGGTTAGGATATTAAGAGAGATCACTAGTAATAATTTTAAACAAGATTTGACTTTCTTAGTAAATCAAACAAGATTAATTTATTTCTATTGATACTACAAAATTAGAATCTTTTCAAATTTTTTATCATTATTTTAATTTAATACTCCTTTTCACATCAATGTTGATACCTCAGATCTTTTCTTCGTAATATGTCAATTTCTTTTTCACTTCTTTTATCTGTAAAAAATAATATTATATAAAATGTTATATTCTTATGTTACAATAGTATAGTGATCAATTTTTAATTCTAATATTATATATACGTACCCTACCTGTGGATTATATAGCTTTACAATATTTATTTCTGTTTCACACCAAGATTGTGTAATTCCTTCTTCCGATGAAGCATAAGATCTCTATTCTTTGTTATTTAGTTATCGTTCTTTTTTCCTTTTTATTCGTAAGATCTATGTTTGTGGTATCCTTTCCATTATATATAGCTTTGCTATCATGACATTTCCTTTAAATCATTTTCCATACTATCTGATAACAAGCTCTTGTCTTCCATTTCTTTCTGAGGTGCTAATGTTTTTATTTAACTGCTTCTTTTTGGAATATTCTTATAAAGTATTTGAGAACCATTTGATATACAATAGAGATTTACCCTCCTTAATCACATTAACTATGTCTGCCATTTGCTTCTATAAATTTCCTTGTTCCAATTGCAATTGGTCGAACAGTTTACGATACTGTATTAAATGCTCTGTAACTGAATACAGTTTTGCTGGCTTCTCTTTCAGTATGTCAAGCAAAAAGACACTAATACAATAATTTAATAAAACGTCATATTTAATTCTAATTGAAGCTCAATTAGGATATGTTCCACTTTCAATTGGTTTATAAGAAAGAATGCTAAACATTTTTTGCTTCTGTCATGTAACTGCAAAAGAAATTTTTATACATTAAATTCCATAAGTACTATCAACATTATTTTAATATTTCTATAATTATGAAATAACATATACAAAAGAAATACATTTTTTGACTTTATAAACTTATAACACTAAAGATATATTGCATTTGGAAGCTTTGTTCAAAGTGTCAAAGAGAACAGGCTTACAAAATCAATTAAAATACTGTATCATAAATGACAATAATTAATGTTTACTAACAAACTAAAGAACTGTTCCGATATTCACTGCCAGTACTGAAATGCTATAGTTTACGTTACTTACACTATAGATTTTCAGTACTGGTAGTAATATCGGAACATGGGGTAAATAACAGCAAAAGATATATCACAAATTATTAATGTTTTATGTATAACTTTAAAGTTACTGACCATACACATAGAAAATTCCTCATCAAACGTTTGTTTGCCATATTTTTGATAATTTTTCCTTTTATATTTATAGATTTTACTGATGTTCATCATCGTTACCAAAATTTTCAATGGTGCATTGTTTCCACTTTATCTCTTAATAGTTTTCTCTTGATTCTCTCTCCATATATATTTCAAATCCGTCACAACATTCAAGTCCATGTCATCTTTCCATATCATTGACATTTTCGTCGACGAGAGGTTTTCTTGTTCTAGCATGAGAGAAAATAAATTAATAAATATAAAACAGATTGTTTCACAATACAAAATTAATATTTTAGCAGTAATTATAAATTAAAGTATTTGTATAGAGTTTTCAAGGTATAAATAGGTAGAAATTACTCTTCCAATTCGAAAAATGATCTTAATTAATTTTCTATTCGTCGCTTAATTAATTAGTCATTAGCAAATTTTATGAAAAGAAATGATCATTAACAAATACTTCAAAATTAAAATCTCGCAAAATTTATTTTTGTATGCTACTGGAAATTTTCTTACATCAATTTAATATATTTAAAAAACGTTACCCTTTTTGTTTGCGAATTATATTCGAGCGAAGAAATAAATTTCAGTAAAATATAAACCTGTCCATGCAAGTATCAACAAATAAAGCGTAACCTCAAAATACGCTGGATTATGTTCAAAAATCTACTCATCGGATAAAATAGTTCTGAATCGACCAATCAGAAGCCAAGACTACTCCGTTCTGATTGGTCGATGAAAAGTCACTATACGTCCGACGCATTTTCGAACACGACCCCGAAGCGGCAGCGCTGTGATTGGTTCGCTGCTTCGATCGTTTATTCATCGCGTTTGAAAATGTCGAGCGGACGTGTCGCGACGCGGTTCCCGGTTTTTTCGCGATTATTGGATATTTCAAACGGAATCTCGCGTGAAAAGCAAGTGCCTCGCGAAGTATCGGACGTTCGTCGTAAAATGTACAATCGGCGTTGCACCTCGAGATCATAATTTCGACGTCAACGATCCAAATTTCTGTCCGCGCGAAATCGAGTGAAAAGTTCAGTACTCGACGCCATTATTCCTCGCCGAATTGCAATCTGTAAGTGTAGCATCGTCGTTGCCAAGTATGTATTTATTTCCCTGTTTCATTATTAATTATATCTAATATATGTTGCCTCTGATATTTGTGTATTATGATTAATGAATAAGTAAATATCGAATTTTCCAAATTCGTCGCTTTGCGCATCGCAACGAGCTACAAAAATAAGCTATAAAAAATTGATTTTAATACTACACAGTATATCCTCTCCTGCAATGAAAAATTATCATCAGAATCTCATGATAAAACCAGACGATCTTGATCAATTTTGTGTATCCCTGAAAATAATCGTGTTTTATTTTCCGGAAAAAAAAACGGAAATATATATCATTTAGCATCGAGCTGGTCGCGCACGCGTGGCAAAGTTTTCAATTTCGCAGAATGATATTCCATATCAATTCTATCCGTTCAAGCAGCCACGTTTCTCGCGAGACTTGAATATTTCGCGAAATGTCATTATCGAGTCGCGCGAAGTCGCAGTCGAAATACACAGTTTCTGCTCTATCGGAGTCATCCCCTGGTGTGAGGGGGGGGGGGTGGTAATGGGGGGGGGGAAGGAAACTGCAGTCCGAAACGCCTAGAGCGCGCACCGCGCGGAAACGCGTCATCGCCGCGACTCCCTTATCAGGGCGCCACGCGCCTCGCTCGATTCTATTTACGAACAATAAGCACAATGCTCCTATCACGTCGCCCGTGTAGCAACGCTCTGCCCCAGTTTCACTTTGCCAATATAATGATCGCCGCACACCGAGGCACACAAGCGAACAACCTGCGCGTATACTCTCGCCGCGCTTTAAATGCACGAGCGCACCATCCTCCTTCTTCCACTCGTGTATAACACACCGTCGTCATCTCGGCCTTACACTCTGATGCATTTGTTTACGTCAACGACGATGCCTGAAGCTCACAGGCGCGGCCTACGTAAGACGTTCTAGTCATTTCCGCACCGCGATGATATCGCCGTGTTTATATTCTTGGAAAATATAGCAAGGATGATACTCGAGAATCTAGGTGAATGTCTTGATAAATTCCGATGTGATAATAATGCAGTAAAGAGAGAGAGAGAGAGAGAGAGAGAGAGAAAGAGAAAATATTCAAGTTTGAAATACTGTCATGTATAGCTAATATGTATATTTATAAAAAGTATATAATATATATTATATATATATTAAATATATAATAATATATTATAAATAGATGTATATATTATTATAATAATATATATTATATTTATAGATATATTAAATATATTATAATACTTATTTATTAAACCACCATATTCATCTCGACTTATTTTATTACTTTTTTATAGAATTATTAATATTATAATTTTCTTTGTTATAATTATAATTAAAATATTTATATTATATACGCTGAAAAAAACAATTTTTTAAGTTGATTAAACCTTTCAACTAAATATTATTTTGTTAATTTAAACATAAAAATATTTAATTACGAGTAATTTATGAGTCGCCAGTGAAATAAAATATAAAATGTGTTAATAAACCGACCACAACTGGCAATGTTATTATTTAGTTATTTATTCAAAATTTAGACAAATTCTGAATTTTGAATAAATAACTAAATAATAACATTGCCAGTTGTGGTCGGTTTATTAACACATTTTATAAAAATATTTAAGTTGAAACATATTAAATCTAACAAAACGTATATTTGATTTAAATACTAATATACGTTCAATTAGCATAGTCTGTAGTTAATAATTTTTTTTTATTATATATAATATGAATATTTTAATTATAAATAAATAGAATAAAATATTATTTATTATAATTAAAATCTCTTTTTCTTAAAGTGCTGTTTTTATTTTAATAAGAATTTAATAATATACTTTAACATTAATCAAGTTTTTTTTCGCAACAATTTTTTGCAAGAAATTAAAGAGCGAGCACGTCTAATTTAAATAGGAAATTAATATGTTTAAATAAATAAATACATCAGTATTTAATGCTACAATGTCGATTTTATCGGCGGAAGTGTCTTAATGGTATTGTTGGCAGGTTTCTTCCTTTGTTTGAATGTTCTAACAGATTGCAGAGCAACGATGCGCGAATAGCTCAATTCACGCTCCCTTTCGTGTTCTTCGATACTGATCTTGTTTAAGAAAAAAGGGGCCGTTATCGTTAGTCATCATGCAAATCGCGCTAAGCGAAATACTATGATAATTATATTCTTACCACATCGTTAGGCCAATTAGATTTTTGTTGTGTCGGTTCACCCTTCTTTCTAACACGCTTGAATATCATGAATGCTGCTAATTGTCATTTACATTTGTTAAATTGATAATTTTTCTTTAAAAAATATTATTATTAAATATATTATGAAAAAACGAAAAGATAATTCTTTTTTTAACTGCAAAGTTCCTTTTGGTACTCAAACTTTAGCGACAAATAATCGTTCTTTCCTTGTGAAGATACTTGTTCTAACAGTCGTTAAAAAAGTGGTAATATTGTGCACTGAAAAAATTTATGTCGACATATACCTACTTATATCTGCATTTAGAACATAGTAATACACTAAAAAATATTGACGTCGCAAGAGAAAATTAATTCCCAAAATTATATTGCAAGTAATGTTAAACAAATGCAAATTTATATATTTATAATTATTTATTCAATTATATATTTGTAATAATTTATTCTTTCTCTCTTTATTTGCTTTTCCAAATCATTTGTTGATCTAAATGATGACTTACAGATATATCTATAAAAATCCAAATAAAGTCTAAATACACTTTAAATTTTTTAAGATTTTATAGAATACAGTATATTTCAGGATGTCATCAACGAAGAGCTATTTGACACGAATAACAATGAGAAAATTATTAATTTTTGATTCATCATTTACTACTTACATTATGCAAAATGGCTATATAAACGATAATATAATGAGGTATCTTCTATGCACCTATAACCGCCAGTCTCGATGCTGCTGCGGTTTACATCAAAGAGCCAAATCGCCGATGCGATATCAATATTACATGTTTCTGATATACAAGAAAATAGGAGCAAATTGATATAAATTATGTAATAAATTATGTGTGTGTATATAATATTATTATTTATAATTATATTATATGTATGTATATAATATATATTATTAGTATAGTAATAATATTGTTTATCGTAAAATTGTACAAAACTAATCAGCTCTTATACTTTCGTTTCCTCTCGAATTTTATTCTCCCGCACACTCTGTCTCGGACAGAGCGATATTTTAATAAAACATCGCGAAAAGGCGTTAATAAGTCTGCCCTTGTTAGTTCAGATTACACGAACGTACTCTCGCGATACGTGACTCGAATTTCGCGGGCACTTGAACGCGTGGAAATGAATAAAGTACCTACGTGATTGTAACGAGGGAAAAAGGCCATGGCAAAACCCAAGATAATTCCTATACTATAAGTCCTAAAAGGAAATCTCGAATCCGCCAGGAATATAGGACCACCATTCTGCTCTTCTGTCATCCAAAAAGATGTATAGCTCGTTTTACACGGAAAGCTTTTTTTCGTGCGTTTAGATTTTTAAATACAATTTTTATACAGCGATGCTAAGCGTTAAATCGTTAATTTAATTTCTATTCTTTTAGTTAGAGAAGATATGAAATATTTAAATCACTATTCATATACGTGTAGGATAATTCTCGTACGAAATGAATTAAAAACTCAAAGCATTGTGCTTGTTAAATTGATCATATCTCTAATTCATTTTCTTTCCTCGCATTTAGACATTATTATCAGATGCTCTTCTACAGAAATAGATTTATATTCAAGAATAGATTGCATGCGAAATAACATTTGGTTTATTTTTTGCTGATGTTTATTAAAGTGTTTTTGAGATATTTAAGTTTATTATAAGTTCTATATTATACGAAAATAAGTGTCTTATTTAATACAGTTTTGATTGAGATGTAAGAATTTGACATTTAAAACATGCAATATTTTTATATGATACACGTGAATTTATGATACATTTTAATTAATTTCATGCTATATTAAAAATTTTTTATATCTATTTATTTATTTAAATTATTTTCTATATTATTTAATATATATTATTTAAATTAATATTTAACAAAAATGTTTGCCTCATTTTTATTATAAAATAAATAATTGTAAAAATAATGTTTTTTTTACACTCGAATAACGACATTTATTTTATCCGCATTTATTATATCAAAATATGCGTATACTGATATTGTGCTAAAATTACATTTCATCGATTGTTGCAGGATGGCATCGTGGGAAGTGTTTTAAGTTGTCTCTTCGATTCAATCCTCGAGGGAAACCTCCGTTACCGTGCGTGAGAGGGCAATCTCATCTTTAAATGCAAATAGAAGCTATTACCGACGATGTGCTCGCTCTTAATTTATTCCATAATCGGGACATTTCGTGAAATATTTGCGTGCTCCTTCGCGGAGCATCCTTTTGTCGAGCTGACGAGGTCATAGATACATATACTTCGCGAGATAGAAGGAGAAATATAGTGTGCAATGAAAAGTGTGGTAGAAGCAGTATGGAACATGATAGACACAGAAATGGAGCCTAAACGAGAAAGCGAGAAGAGAA